GCGGGTGATCGTGCAGGCTTCGACGGGCGAGCTGCGAGCTCGGCGGGCAGCGCCTCCGTCCGCAGCGCCCGCCTCGCGGCTCTCATTCCCTGCCCCTGCCAAAGCTCACTCAGCCAAGCCGTGCTCTCCTTCTTGCCTCGCTTTGCTGCCTCCTCCCCCCCCCCACCCCCAAAGCTTGGAGGTTCCCCGGCAAGGGGGAGGGAAAAAAATTGAAAACTTTCACTTTCGTGCGTCCCTCCCGGCGTGACGCTGCGCGCTGACGTCACGGGGCTGTAATGGTGGTGTGCCGCGAGATTTTTTTCATCAAACAAGTGTGCCTTTGCCCAAAAAAGGTTGGGAAACACTGGACTAGAGGTCTTAAATTGAAAAGGATTTTGAGTTTGATTGTAGATTTACTGTTCAACCTCAATTATGTTTGAATTTAGCTAAAACTGATTTTTTTGTGGGGGGAATACCTTGGAGTGTTGAAGGTTACAGAAACCAATCATTTTCTCATTGCACTGAAATTATTCCTTGGTTAAGAACACCAACTCTTCCAAACTCCCAAGTTTGTGTCTGTCCTTAAAGTTGTTCTCTCTGTTGCACTCTTTGAAGGCTGCAAGGTTCATATTGTAATGAAATCCTGCTACCATCCATTAGATGGGGACAAACAGAAGAATAACTGAGCAGAAGTAAGAATGCTGATGTACAAAACCATCCTGAATCTTTGTATTGTATACTTATAGACATGGAAGTTGGTTTAGCAAATTATATACTAAAAAGCAGTTCCATATTTCATATGCAGAGCATGCTTCCTAAAATATCAACATATTTAAATGTATATCTGTAATGCTCTGTAGCACTATTAGTATACCTTGGGTTTTCGGGCATTTCCCCTTACTTTTGTTCATGATAGTGGCCAAGAGGCTGATACTGATGAATTGGAAGAATAGAGATATGATTCCTCTTAATCATTGGCTTGACAACATGACAATATTGGCAACATATGAACAGACACCTTATAGACACAGACTTTCTTGGGATAAATATAATGATATTTAGAATGAGATTACATAGTATTAGGTTATTGATAACTATATGTGTATTAGCATAAGATTCTACACATCACAACTAAACGACTAAACGACAACAAATACTTATGTATGGAAACATAACTGAGCATTTTTTCTCTTTTTCATTCTTGTTTTTCTTTTGTTTTTTCTCACTATCTTTTTATCAATGAAATTCTTCTGATAAACTATTAATAATAATAGTGCAGTGGCACCTCGGTTTACGAACTTACGGTAATCCGTTCCAGAAGTCTGTTCGTAAACCAAAGCCGTTCTTAAACCGAGGCGTGCTTTCCCTAATGAGGCCTCCCGCCACCGGTGCCCTTCCATCATTCGGTTTCCATTCTTAGACCGAGGTAAAGTTCGCAAACCGGGACACTATTTCTGGTTTTACGGAGTTTGTAAACCGAATTGTTCTTGAAAGTCTTGAAAGACCTACACTGGCTCCCAGTACGTTTCCGAGCACAATTCAAAGTGTTGGTGCTGACTTTTAAAGCCCTAAACGGCCTCGGTCCAGTATTCCTGGAGGAGCGTCTCCACCTCCATCGTTCTACCTGGACACTGAGGTCCAGCGCCGAGGGCCTTCTGGCGGTTCCCTCACTGCGAGAAGCCAAGTTACAGGGAACCAGGCAGAGGGCCTTCTCAGTAGTGGCACCTGCCCTGTGGAACGCCCTCCCACCAGATGTCAAAGAGAAAAATAACTACCAAACTTTTAGAAGACATCTAAAGGCAGCCCTCTTTAGGGAAGCTTTTAATGTTTAATAGGTTAATGTTGTATTTTAATTTTGTTTTAAGTTGTAATCATTCAACTTATTTTTATTATTGCTTGTTAGCCGCCCTGAGCCCGGCCTTGGCTGGGGAGGGCGGGGTATAAATAAAATATTATTATTATTATTATTATTATTATTATTATTATTATTTTAGTGTTTGTTGGAAGCCGCCCAGAGTGGCTGGCGGGACCCAGACAGATGGGCGGGGTATGTATAAATAAATAAATAAATAATAATATTAAACAGGACTGTTCTTAAGCCGAGGTATCACTGTAATAATATTGTTCATAGTGAGTGTTCATTGCAGCTAAAAAAATATTAATTTAGATTTGTTGTTAGTCTCCTTCGTACTGTATACATTTGCATGGATTAATTTCTGAATATTCATATGTTGTTGGAATTTTCATATGTTTAGGGTACAGTGGTACCTTGGGTTAAGAACTTAATTCGTTCCAGAGGTCCGTTCTTAACCTGAGGTACCACTTTAGCTAATGGGGCCTCCCGCTGCCACCGCACCATTTCTGTTCTCATCCTGAAGCAAAGTTCTTAACCCAAGGTACTATTTCTGGATTAGCGGAGTCTGTAACCTGAAGCGTCTGTAACCTGAGGTACCACTGTATCTGGAACTTTAAGCAATCCACCAAATATTGACTTGAACCATTATTATTGATTGGTTTAGCATATTTACCCAGCTGAATTCCTTACATATCAGAATGTCAGAGGAACTATTATGAATCAAGCCCTTTGCTATATTATTTAATCTTTTGGATTAGATAAGTACTTGCTATTTAACAAGTTTTCTTCTTCTTCCAAATTTCAACAACTGGCTATGCATTTATGGGAGTGTATGTATTTATATGGAGATAAATATAAACAAACTCTTTCTATTGTTATAAACAATAAAATCTAAATTGAACAGAAGCCACATATCCTGTCCTATAATTTAAAAAACATGTGTCCTGTTGTAGGAACCTAAGGAAAGTCATAACTCTAAAACAATTCATCTGTTCAAAAATGCTTTAAGAATTCTACATGTTAAACCTATAATTCTGTTTAAAATTATTGAATTTAGTAATAGGAAGCATTTGTTCATTGGCGTAAACTATAAAGAGTTTACATTTCCTAGAAAGATGGATGAGTTTTACTATTAAAGCAACAGGAAAGTCTTAAAATTACCACCACTTGGAAATCTGAAACTAACTTGAAAATATCATGAATTAATGTGTTGTGATGGGAACAAATAATCAAATTTAAGCTGCCAGGGAAACTTCTAGGCAGAGGCTTAAAGGAGTAGAATCTAATGATGTGATATATTTGATCTTTATCACTTACAATTGTAGAGAAAAAGCAAAAGAAAAAATGGTATTACTTTGAGGGGTTTTTTTTAATGGTGATGTTGTAATATGACTGTTTTTGGACTATACTTCTGTGACTTCTACACTTCAGATTATTTTTTGTAAAATAGAAATGATATATACATTTTCTAATATGAAAAGATTATTTTTCATTGGTTAGCTACCTTCCTTTAGATGTCATGATTAATGTGCTGTTTCATTCTATTTCATGTTTAATAAGGGAAACAGGATTCTTTTTAAAAGTGATGGAAATACTTTTTAATATGCTGATTTACGATTTTGTTAACTCAGACTGCTAGCTCTTTTTATTAAAGCTCTTGGTATAATGGAAATGTGTTTCCGATCAACAGTCAGTAAAAGAATAAAATAACTTTTACACTTTGAGATAATGCACCTTATGTTTAATAAGAGGTTTTTTTCTTTCAGAAGAGGCAGTTTTATTTGAATTTGGAAGGTTTGATGTGTTTGTTGAGAATTGCTTGAAACTATATCTCCTTTGTTGGAACATTAGTAATATAACTGCACAATGTTGCAACTGCAATAAGAGTTTTCCATAAAACAGAGATACGTTCGTTTGTATGTTAGGGACTCAAGATTGAATAAATGAACCAAATCAAACTGATAAATTTCTAAGTGAACTATAACTTTTTATATAAGGTATTTTATTTTAAATTGTCTAGGCTGCAGTTCTACGCTTTCCCTCAAATGTTGATTGTGGGGCTTAGGGCAGGCATAGGCAAACTCGGCCCTCCAGATGTTTTGGGACTACAACTCCCATCATCCCTGACCACTGGTCCTGTTAGCTACGGATGATGGGAGTTGTAGTCCCCAAACATCTGGAGGGCCGAGTTTGCCTGTGCCTGGCTTAGGGTGCACTACATCTGTCTCTCTGCTGGGAAGGGGGCGTTCTCTGTAGTGGAGGCCTGAGCTCTGGAGTAGCTGCAGCTGGTGGTGCTTCTGTCAGTGGTAGCCAGTGGAAAATGTGAAAAGGGGCATTCGTGGGTGACCTTGGCCCTTGGGTCACTCAGCAGTGCTGTCCTGATGCAGAAAAAGCAAACAACACTCCCCCCCGCCTATCCAGATGGGTGGGGTATAAATAATAATATATGATGATGATGATGATGATGATGATGTTGATGTATGACCCTGGCCTGTTAGGCCTGGTTTGCTCCCTAAGAGTAACAAAAACAGAAAACAAATTGTTGCACAAGGTTGTCTGTAGGTGGGTGGAACAATCCCAATACAGTGGTACCTTGGTTTATGAACTTAATCCGTTCAGGAAGTCCGTTCTTAAACCAAAGCATTCTTAAACCAATGCATGCTTTCCCATAGCAGCGAGGGACTCAATTTACAAATGGAACACACTCAACAGGAAGCGAAACATGTTCTGCTTCCAAGGCAAAGTTCACAAACCAAAACACCTACTTCTGGGGTTGCAGCATTCTAAATCCAAGTTGTTCATAAACTAAGCTGTTCTTAAACCAAGGTACCACTGTATTAAGAACCTAGGCAACATAAAATTTTACACTTCATAAGAAACAGTAAGAAACTTGGGGTACAGCACAGGGCAAGACATTCAAGAGGACTTTTTTTGTTATAATGTGGGACGCCTTGCCCTAGGAACTTCATTTGCCTCTTGTGCTGGAAAAATATTGGTAAATAAATTTAATAATTTTGCAGTAGTCGGTCGTGTTCAGTTACATACCCTTCAAAGGATGTGCAAGTGATTCTGTAGTGTGTGTTCAGGAAATATGCATGTACATTAAATTTGAAGCCTATTTTCCTGCAAAATGGAAGAACTTATACACTGCTTCCTTTTTATTTAGGTCGCGACTTGATCTGTATACAGTCTGTGGATGGAGTGCTTATGTTATTTGAACAAGAAAGCTATTCATTTGGCCGTTTTCTACCTGGTTTTCTTCTTCCTGGTCCGCTGACATATAGCTCTCGAACAGATTCCTTCATTACTGTCTCTTCCTGCCGGCAAGTTGAGAGTTACAAGTACGTAGAGATGTCAAACATGTAACATTTTATTTTGTATTTGTTGCCCTTTACTGTTTACTTACATCAAAATGGTCAAGTGTTAGGGAGGATGCATCTGAAACAAAAAACACTGTACTGATTTAATGGTCTGCTCAGGTAGGCAACTCGTTTTGGCAGTGATTACATCTAGGTATCCTAGAAATTCCAACAGCAGTGAGTACTAAAAAAAGTACACAAACACCTCATTTTCACTCCTATCCCCAAATGTCCAAGAGCTGCTTTAGATGTTTTCTGCACATAACCATGGGGTTAGATCCAGTCATAGTCATGCTCAGACTAATGTTCCATTGATTCCATTGGGTCTATTCTGAGCATGACTGACTGGATCCAACCCATAGTGTAGGGGGAAATGAGTAAACATGTTTGTTTGCACATGTTTGTTTGTTTAAAATATTTATAGTCTGCCTTTCCATACAGCACTTCTCCAATATCAACAATAGAAAACATTTAAAACCTTTACCTTCCCTACGATAAAAACAAGTAAACATACCCACCCAGCCAATTAAAAAACTTTCTTTTGCACGTGCAATGTATTTGTTGAAAAGAATATGTTTGGCTGGAAATCAAATAAAAGTCAATATTCTCATTAAAGATGTAAATATGTAAAAATATATACAGTGGTACCTCGCAAGACGAATGCCTCGCAAGACGGAAAACTCGCAAGACGAAAGGGTTTTTTGTTTTTTGAGCTGCTTCGCAAGACGATTTTCCCTATGGGCTTGCTTCGCAAGACGGAAACGTCTTGCAAGTTTGTTTCCTTTTTCTTAACACCGTTAATACAGTTGCGACTTGACTTCGAGGAGCAACTCATAGCACGCGGTGTGGTAGCCTTTTTTGAGGTTTTTGAAGACTTTGGTGATTTTTGAAGCTTTTCCAAAACTTTTCCGACACCGTGCTTCGCAAGACGAAAAAAATCGCAAGACGACAAAACTCGCGGAACGAATTAATTTCGTCTTGCGAGGCACCACTGTATTTGCAGCTGTAACTCTGTGTCAATAGAAGACACAACTCATGTACTCATTGAATGCCCTTTTTATAATGATCTTAGAAACAACTACATCCACCCATTGTTAAGCATGCAGAAGGGAAGGCTCTCTCTTGTAAAGACCTGTTTTCTATTGTTCTGATGTAGAGAAGTATATCTCCTATAGAACATCCAAATTTCTTATTAAGGATCTACAGATTCGTGTAACAAAATTTAAAGGCGCTATGGGAAATGATTTAGCATCTAAAGGTTGGGGAATAGAATTGTAAACCACTATTAGTAGCAGTATTGTTGTTATTATTTTTATGTGTGTAATGGCTGTTTGCTAAAACGCAATAAACTGAATTGATTGATTATGAGGGCTATCCAGGCAAGACACATTTTAAATTATTTGTTAAGAGTCAAACTTGCAAATGCAGTTATTCCATCTCATAAGAATAAAGGTCTTGAAAATAGGTTTAAATCAGGTACTTTTATGCACTCTGAAGTAATTTCCCAATATGAAAGTATTAAAAACTTTTAAGAGATAATGTTTGTTTTTTTCAATAGGTACCAAGTGCTTGCATTTGCAAAAGACGCTGAGACCCAAGAAAACGAGCAACAAAAGCGTGGGTCAGGAAAAAGGCTTGTGGTAAATTTGCTGCTTCTTATGGCTAATCAGTGATGCTCCATAGATACTAAAGAATTTAAAATATTAACTTACAGTTGTGAAGAATTCAGCTCTATTAATGGACTTCTGTTGATACTGTCCCCAGCCCAGCAATGATGTTTGTGTTTGATTTTCCTGAAAAAGGAAAATCACATAAGGAAACTGGGGGCAAGAGAGCAGCTAAGTTTTGAGATGCTGAAAGCATTTAAAATGTAGCTTTTATTGAAGCACTGTTGCTGTTGTTATGGGGAAAGGAAGCAAACGCCCCACTTCACATTATTTATACCAGGGGCACTATCTTCTTTGATTTGTACCCATGGGATGCATGCTATACAGCACTTTATTATTTTCCTCCTGGCATGATGGAGTGTTGCCCTTCTTGAACTGAATGGTATTGATGGCAACCAATAAAGCAAAGAGAAATAAAACAATACAAATCACAAAATGAACTGATGTTACGTAGTCAAGATAAGTAACTCCTGTGTTAGCACGGCAGATTATGACACCCTGCACTTAGTCTCTTTACAATTGCATTCCGTTTGTGGTTCGAGGACCCGACCCCGTGAAGTGAAATGAAGACACAAGGACACGTGATATTAGGTTAATGGGCTAGGAAAAGGCCACAACTTTATTGGTTACAGCATTTAAAAGGTATTGGCTTAGGCATTGGATCGAAACAAGTGGGTTCTTCACCAGTAGGTGGAGCCTGTCGATGCCAATCCGACTATAGGCTCACCCCTGCTGTCACCGAGGGTCGTGCCAAGGCCTCCCGCCAAGCAGGCATCGGACGGAATACACGACCCCCAGATTCCTTTAACGGAATACCCCTAAAAATTGAAGGCATAGGCGATGGCCACACCTAGCACTTCCACACAGCGCAACACATTATTCCAATGCCTAACCTACCCACCAATACCACAAAAGTTGTGACGATTGCTACGAGGTAGGCGAAAAAACCAATTAGCCTAGTGCCAAATGGAAAAACTCCTACCAGGCCCCCCAGCCAACCAGGGCGACCAACCTAAGGTCCATAGCAAGGCCGAAAAACCCGAGCCCTAACTAAAGGGAGTGGAGGGTGGGTGACTCGCGAGGGGCGAAGGAAGGAAGAATGAGGCCGGGGGAAGGCTGGCGCTGCAGCAAAATGCTGCTGGACACGCCCCCACCGTGGCCCCCGGTTGGATGGCCACCGAGGGGGCGTGAGCGCCAGCCAGGTGAGTGGGCAGCAGGGGGCCCCGCCCCCTGCTAGCCGGAGCTCGAGCCCCGACCACAACCCCTCCCCTCCCCTTCGGGGAGGAGAGTCTTTGTGGTTCGAGGACCCGACCCCGTGAAGTGAAATGAAGACACAAGGACACGTGATATTAGGTTAATGGGCTAGGAAAAGGCCACAACTTTATTGGTTACAGCATTTAAAAGGTATTGGCTTAGGCATTGGATCGAAACAAGTGGGTTCTTCACCAGTAGGTGGAGCCTGTCGATGCCAATCCGACTATAGGCTCACCCCTGCTGTCACCGAGGGTCGTGCCAAGGCCTCCCGCCAAGCAGGCATCGGACGGAATACACGACCCCCAGATTCCTTTAACGGAATACCCCTAAAAATTGAAGGCATAGGCGATGGCCACACCTAGCACTTCCACACAGCGCAACACATTATTCCAATGCCTAACCGCCACCCGAGCTAAAGGCTCGCCGCCAATACCCTCAAAGCTGCAACCAATCCCAGATGTTTTTAATGACACTAGCTAACCAGAAGTCATTCCCCAAATCAGATAGGTGGACACCGTCATCCCGGTATAAAGCTTTGTCGCTAATCCGGATACGGTCATGGTAAATCACTCGGCCATCCATAAAGCGCACCCAACGGGCTACCGCCCGATTTACGAGTTTCCTGGTTCTTTCAATGGCCATACAGTCTTGCGCACCGCGCCACACAGTTCTTTTCAAAAAGGAGGACCAGCACACTGTCGTTCTGGGAGACAGGGCCGCAAATGCATTCAAGTCTCTTTTTATGCTTGACAACAAGTCCACACTCCTTATGTTGCCCAGGTCATTCTCCCCTAAATGAATCACCAGGATGTCGGGAGAGCCGAACTTGGCTATTTTCTCCCGCAGCAAAGGCATCAGTTCTTCCCAACGCATGCCTCTTCTCGAAAACCAGGAAACTCGAACATCACGTGGCAGACCGAGATTGGGTGCCAGGCCGCAGCTCACCGCTCGCACGCGGGCCCAATGAACAATGCTGTGACCGCAAATCCACACGATTCTTCCGGGCATAGCTGGGAATAAAGATAGAACAAAAGGAAGGGTAAGCAGACTAAGGGGTAGGCGCAAGGTTGCGAATATATGACTTATAAACATTGGATTTCCACCGGCCCAACTCTTTTATCCTTTCTGCCGGCAACCCCAGGTGCGCGGCCGTGGTGGCGGCCCCGATCCTGAACGAATGTGCAGCGTACTCATGGGGGGGATGAAGGCAGAATCGGCAGAACAGACTGGATGGTTGCGGACAGGTTCCCACACACCCACCTGGGACCCGAGAATTAAAGCGAACCGGACAAACTGGTCTTCACCCCTTAAGATGTGGTCCCCACCACACCATAAGGGCAAGAGCGAGACGCCAAGCAGACAGGCAGAAGCCAGAGCACAAAGGCACACACACACAGAAAGCCACAGAAACGCGTCCTCACAAAAACCCCTTGAGCTCTGGTCCAGAAACGCACTACAGGCAGGAATGGGGCTCCAAACAGTGAGGCAGAACCAAGAAACACCCGCACACACCCAACAGCAAACGGAAGCAACAGGGGATCAATCGGAAGGTGGGGGGGGGAATACGCCAAACACACACAGCAAACAATCAAAGCGAGACCCAAACGCCACTGCACTGGCGCCCAGGCGATGCGAAAGGAAACGGAAGATTAAAAATGCGCCCGTCAGCTGTTAGGCAGCTGATAGCGGCCGGCGGCGGCTGAACAATAGCGCCCACGTGGGCTGTTGCCCGGCGCAGGGATAAATGTGAGAAAAGCAACCACAATGTTAAGCGGCTGAGAGCCCGTCAGCTGTTAGGCGGCCCACGTGGGCTGTTGCACGAGCAGGGGAAGAAGAACCCGATAAGCCCTTGGAAAATTAAAGAACGCTAGCCGCAATGTTTGACTGCAGAGTCAAGGGTAACTAATGGGACGCAACCAAAAACCGCGAAACGACAAAAGAAGCAGCAAATACTTCCCTGGCTTCCTGCAGCAGCAGTCTCCGACTCGCGAGGGGCGAAGGAAGGAAGAATGAGGCCGGGGGAAGGCTGGCGCTGCAGCAAAATGCTGCTGGACACGCCCCCACCGTGGCCCCCGGTTGGATGGCCACCGAGGGGGCGTGAGCGCCAGCCAGGTGAGTGGGCAGCAGGGGGCCCCGCCCCCTGCTAGCCGGAGCTCGAGCCCCGACCACAACCCCTCCCCTCCCCTTCGGGGAGGAGAGTCTTTATAACGTCCATTGTAACAAAGCTAGCTGTGTATGGGTAGTATCCAGACTAAGTTAGTTGCACTTTGTTGCAACTTATTTAAATGGGACGGTAAAGGTAAAGGTACCCCTGCCCGTACGGGCCAGTCTTGACAGACTCTAGGGTTGTGCGCTCATCTCACTCTATAGGCCCGGAGCCAGCGCTGTCCGCAGACACTTCCGGGTCACGTGGCCAGTGTGACGAAGCTACTCTGGCAAGCCAGAGCCGCACACGGAAACGCCGTTTACCTTCCCGCTAGTAAGCGGTCCCTATTTATCTACTTGCATCCGGGGGTGCTTTCGAACTGCTAGGTTGGCAGGCGCTGGGACCGAACTACGGGAGCGCACCCCGCCGCAGGGATTCGAACTGCCGACCATGTGATCGGCAAGTCCTAGGCACTGAGGTTTTACCCACAGCGCCACCCACGTCCCTTAATGGGACGATACTGCCAGGTAAATTGGGTTAGGATTGCAGCCTAAGTTGTTACATTTTAAAAACAAACAAATTTGTCCCATTGATTTCAGTGAGATATTTAACTAGTTTAGTCTGAGCCATCCTTGTGATATGATTAAAGTACATTGATTTCATTTTTTCTTTAGGTGGACTGGGTTTTAAACATTGGAGAACAAGCGTTGGATATATGTGTTGTTTCCGTCAGTCAACTTGTTTCCAGTGTGTTTGTGCTTGGGGAAAGAAACTTCTTTTGCCTTAAGGATAACGGACAAATTCGATTTATTAAAAAGCTTGACCACAGCCCAAGTTGCTTTCTTCCATATTCAGGTTTGTAAATAGAAATTTGGAAGCAGAAATTGTGGCTTAGTATAAGCAATTTTGGACTATACTACCTGAACAGTTTAACATCCAACCTAAAGTAGATATTTATAAATGTTATTTGCTCATAATTCTGTCTCTGATTTACCAACAAAACATTAAGTGATCAGGTATTTAGCTCATTATATTTGTTAGCAACAGATTAATACTGTTTTGAACTTCATAATTAGGATTCATCTGATATTTCACCAAATGCAGTAGGTGACTAAAATGAAGTACAGGCACACTTATGCGAGACAGCATATACGTCTGGCACGGGAAATAATTAAATAAATAGACTTATACCAGGAAATGGCGCCAGAGAGTTGGAGAGTCCTCATGACTTGCAAGGAGATGTTTCCTGGAGCCCAAAAAGGACTTCAGTGAGGGCAGAGGAAGCCCCACAGAGACCTGAGGCGCAGTGGGGCTTTGTTTAGGCTGCCAAGCCTCCTTGCCTAACAGCTAATGTGTTGTGGGGTAGTTCAACATCACCTTTCCTGCACGTCCTCCAGCCTCCAGCCCATCTCTTAGCTTCAACTCTAGTTAAAGAGAGAGCGGGGGGGGGGGGAGAGGGAGAGAAAGCGAGAGCGAGGGGGGGAGGGAGCATTTAGGGACTTTTTAGAGGGTGTTCCCCACTTTACACGAATTCACAGGCACAGGCACACAGGAGCCTGGGATGTAGCCCCCACATATGTGGGGGGGACACCTGTACTGGAAGTATAATAGTTTAATCAGGGCTAGTCTTACCATACGGCAGGGTGAATTGATCTGCTTTAAGTGACACCAAGAGGACAAAGGAAGATGAAGACATGGTGTCTGAGCTGTGAAGGAAGTGTTGGCCTTAGTTGACAGCTGTCCACAATTGGTGACTGAAATTTTCTATAATTTAGGTTGTTTCCATAATATTCCCAGATTTTTTTCTGTTATTTAAGCAAAATAATCATAAAATCTGTATACCTTTTTGTACTTCTAATTAGTTGAAAGTGGTTATTTCCAGTGTACAGTGTGGGGTTAGATAGATAGATAGGTAGATAAAGTATTATATTATGTCTCATGGAGGGAGAAATGGTATAAGCTTAAAGCAATTTGAATGACAGACTGGTTCTAAACTCTTTGCATATATATTGTAGTGTCTGGAGCCGTAGTTAACACTCTAATTGGAAACCACAGTAGCATTCTACACGTTTATCAAGATGTGACTCTAAAGTGGGCAGCTCAGCTTCCCCACATTCCTGTGGCAGTAAGAGTGGGAAAATTACTGTAAGTACTAATGGCATAATTTTAGCTTAAGTTGTTTTTTTCATTCTTTTTCTGGAATACACTTTGACTGATTCTAATTTTGTTGCTCTTGACCAGCTGTAAGCAACAGTGCTGCTTCTGGAATTTTGAAAAAAAATATTAATTATTTGTATGTTTTAAATTAATACAATTGAACTTTAAAAAGCAAAGGTAAAGCCAAAAAATTGAAAGCTGTAATTAAGGAGTTGGGTAAAACGCAACCCTGTTAACTGGGCACAATCCTGACATAGATTGGCAGCAAGCAATGGGGTCGTATCCCCTCTCCTACAGCCATTCTTCATAATGAACGGAGCAGGTAGCGCTGTAGTCAAAACCACTGAGCCTCTTGGGCTTGCTGATCGGAAGGTTGGCAGTTTGAATCCCCAAGACGGGGTGAGCTCCCGTTGCTCTGACCCAGCTTCTGCCAGCCTAGCAGTTCGAAAGCACACCAGTGCAATTAGATAAATAGGTACCACTGCAATGAGAAGGTAAGCAGCATTTCTGTGCGCTCTGGTTTCCATCACGGTGTTACGTTGCACCAGATGCGGTTTAGTCCTGCTGGCCACATGACTCAGAAAGCTGTCTGTGGTCAAAGGTCAGCTCCCTCGGCCTGAAAGCAAGATGAGCGCTGCAACCCCATAGTCACCTTTGACCGTACTTAACCATCCAGGGGTCCTATACCTTTTTTTTTTTTTTACCATAATGGAGAGTGGAGGGATATGTCATTGCTGACATTGACCACAGCAAAGGCTTACCACGTTCCCTTTGGGAAAAATAAATATAAAATAAATGTCTATACTGATGTCCAGTGCGTTCTAATTCTCTATTCCTGTGGTAGATTTAACTGATATTACAATTTGAGAGGTTTGTCTGGGTCTCATGGTGTAGACATGTGAGTGTTGTTGACTGAGGATGCAAGGCTTGCAGAGCACTCAGATTGTGATTTGAAGGTGTGTTAGAATAAGAAGGTTGAGTACTACATATTGGTTTAGAATATTGATGTGTTTGATTGACGTGATTAAACTCTCTAGTTGGTTTTCATTTGTAATATTTTACTTCCTGATGTTTAGAGGCTATTTTGTAACTTGTTTGCTGTGAATTTTCCTTGTATTTTTGTAGCTGATTTTTATGTTTGTTTTATACTAAAGTTGATGCTCTATTAGTTGTGTTTCATATAATAGAAATTCTGATAATTTTTATATTTGTGGTTGAAGATGCCTATGTTTTGTTTACATATAAGTGGGGTATAAATTCTCCAAATAACACAACAATTTACATAATTATTAAGTTTATTGGACAGATTAGTTTGATTTGTTGTAAACTGTTAGGTTTTCCTCAAGTAAGCCTTACTGAGTTTAGTGGGATTTAGGATTTAGTGGGATTTAGGTTTAGGATTGCAATCTACGTGAAATTTTCTTCTAGGTTAAGGTAAATTCTCCTGTATGCCGACAATTTAGATTCCTGATTTATTGCTTGTTTTTGAAAGCATTGCTTTTTGGGATGGAAGAAATATTTATTGGGAATGTTTTCATTAACCCCAAGGCTTAACTTAGAATTTCAGAAGGGTTCAGTGGTGGAACTAATTTTGGAATATGCCTACGAGTTGGGGTGAATATACTTAGTCAAGTCATAGAAATAGTTAAGATATCTCTAGTTATTATCTTTTTTTGCTGGGGGGGGTGGGGGGAGTTGACATCTAGGAAGAACTCACCTGTCAATTCTGTTCTTATCAAATATTGTAGGTATATTACTCATTAGTGAAAGCTCTGTAGTTGCCCTTCATGGGAGAGAGGTTCTGCTGAAAAATGTTAGACAAAACTACAGACCCAAGTGTATCTTCAAAACAAATCCAGTGCTTTTTATTATAAGGAGATGACAGGTATGGACAAGTTAGTGAAAGTACATTATTTCACTTATTTTACTGAGTAATGAAATAGCCTACTTCCTGCAGTTCCTGCAGAATAATTTTGAAACAATTTATTTTGGTAGAAATACTGTTAAATCTATGGAACATATAAAGAAACATCCATTTGATCCAGGGCTCTGTGCACAAAGCAGCTCAGGTTGCTTGTGAGGAGCCCTTTTAAAAAAAGTTAAAATCCTTCCGTTTGGGTCTGAATCCGCATCCATCTTCCAAACAGGGAATTGCTGGGATTTTAGCTTTTAAACAGGACTCTACACCAACAGCCCTGGCTGGTGAATTGGAGGGAGGAACTGCATGCTTCAAACTGCCCAATGTTTCCCATCCAACTGGCAATATTTTATTTATTTATTATTGATTTTATGTTCCACCTTTTCTCCCAAAGGAGTCCAGGGCAGCCAACAAGAAGTGATAAAACAATAAAAAAACCACATTTAAAACAATTCCAATGCAAGTGCAGACTGGGAAAGATCTAAAAAAAACTAGTTGAAAGTCTTTAGTTTAGTAGGTGCTGAAAAGGCAACAGAGGCAGTGCTTGTCACATATTGAAGGGAAAGGTTCCACAACAATAAAGAATCTGATTCATGAAGGTGGTGGTGGTGTTGGTAGTAGTAGAAATGATGATGATGTAAGCACCAGCATTTTCATATTTTTTTTAATAATTTTTTTATTAAAGTTTCAAAATTTTTATAACAACAAAACAAACCAATACAGTAATACAGACAAACAAAAAATAAAAACAAGTATAATTTCAACCCTTATTTTCTTATAACTTACTTCCCCGACTTCCTCATACCTCCCCTTTCTGTATTCCAATTTCTAATTTATTATTCAGCAAATCCTTTCCCTTGTTTTTCATTTAATTTTTAACCTTTCTTTTCTTTTTTACTTATCCATTACAGCTGGAAACCACATATTTTCTAAACCAACGTCATTCTAACATTCATTAATTTTACAATATTTCTTAAGATAGTCCTTGAATTTCTTCCAATCTTCTTCCGCTGTCTCTCTTCCCTTGTCTCGGATTCTGCCAGTCATCTCTGCCAGTCCCAGTACCAGCATTTTCAAACAGTGCTGAGAAACAGATTGGCAGCCAGTGAAAATATTTCAGAACTAAGTTATACTCCTAACAAGCAGCAGCATTCAGGCTATCCTCAAAGGGAGCCTCATGTATAATGCACTGCAGTAGTCTAGACAGGAGTTAATTGCTACGTAAGCTGATGAACAATTGTTTGCATGGTGGTTTAATGTGGCGCTGTGGTCTAAACCACTGAGCCTTGGGATTGCCTATCAGAAGGTCAGCGGTTTGAATCCCCGTGGCAGGAGGAGCTCCTGTTGCTCGGTCCCAGCTCCTACCAACTTAGCAGTTCAAAAGCACGCCCCCAAAAGTGCAAGTAGATAAATAGGTACCACTCCAGCAGGAAAGTAAATGGCGTTTCTGTGTGCTGCTCTGGTTTTGGTGTTCCGTTGCGCCAGAAGTGGCTTAGTCATGCTGGCCACATGACCCAGAAAAACTGCGGACAAATGCCAGCTCCCTTGGCCAGTAAAGCAAGATGAGCACCACAACCCCAGAGTCGTCTGCAACTGGACTTAACTGTCAGGGGTCCTTTACCTTTTTTACCTTTTAAGTGTAATAGGAAGTTTAAACAATATGCTAAGCTGTTGGGTTTTTTTTGCTGGAAACATTCTCTGTAGTTTAGCACAGCCAACAGCAGACAAACATGAATGTTGAAGCTAATATAACAAGTGAAATGTGAAGAAATGTGAACTTGTGGGTGGAGTTATAAAGAAAACCACTGCACATACAGTCTTCATCATCATCCAGATGTAGAAAAATACTTTGGTCTTCATTCCAGCCCATCTGTTACTCCTTCTTACAAGGTGACATCACCGCAACCATTAAAGCATCATCATATAAAAATAGAAAAACTCCCATATTAAAAAAATGGGAATACCTAATACTTATTGCAGTATTTTATAGAAGAAAGATGGCAGGATTCAAAGTTTCTTTTTCTCAACAGTGCTGGTTTAACAGAAGTTCTGCCAGTTATGGCACACAGTGAGAACTGGATGACTTTATGCATTTAATGTTTTCAGTATAACAGAATGTGAAAAGTTTAAACTGAATGGTTTCTTTTAACAATTCCAATTTAAATCTTAAGTCCGTGTTGAGGTTTTGCTGAATAGAGTACATTATACTTAAGTAGCACAACTCTGTAGCTGCATATGATCATATATATGTTATTTTTAAAAGACTTTTGACTAGATTATTTTACTTTCTTAATTAAAAAGGCTATATGCAAGATCACACAAGATTTGTGAAGATTATCATGGAAATATAACACAGAATACCTTTACTTTCTCTTCTTTTTATTTTGATCAGACACTGATGATGCAAAGTTAAAATCATAGAATCATAGAATTGTAGAGTTGGAAAAGAACCCAATGGTCATCTAGTCCAACCCCTGCAATGCAGGAATCTAGGTTACCCTCATTGCTTAACTCTTCCGTTTTTTTCTGTTGTGTGTCTGTTGACATCATATTCATATAATACAGCTTTTACTTATGATATAATGTAGCCTTTCCTTCCCAAGTAATTCTTGAAATCCTTCTGGGTTTCATTAACAGCACTTGCCTGCACTTGCCTACTCTTGAGAAAGTCCCATTGTGTTCTAGGGGGCTTACTTCAACTCAAGTGGGTACAGGATTGCAGCCTAAGACACATTACATTATGTTGTCATAAACTGATGTGAGATCTCTGAATATTTTTTTTTCCTTTTTACAATTATTAAATTTTGCTTCCTTAGCTTTCTACATCATCTCTCCGATGAAAGTCAGTATGTATTTATTGAAAAGGGAGCAGGGAAGCAGCAAATCTGCAGTGGGTTGCTGTTTTTAGGCAAGGAATCAAGATTCCTTTTGGACAGCCTGAAATGACCTCCTTCTGGGTAACAACCTACTGATAAGTATGGCCAGAGATCCAACAGGTGGGCACATCTGAAAGAGCCACATATAGAAAAAGGCAGAGAAAAGGGGAGAGTGAAAACAAAGGAGCTCTGAC